GGAAAGGATGTGTATTGTTTCTCAAACCCAAAATGTTAAGATTTAAATAGAGAAGCTGGGTGTGGTTCCCACTCACAGGTTTTGAACCAAGGACACTGCTGACACTCAATTTAAAGCCCACTAAGGCCTCCTTTATGTAGTGTGCATGTCTCCCTCCATTTATGTGCAGCTGTGTAGCCCCTCCATCCATGGTGTGGCTACACTGTGCCCTGCTCCCAAGTGCATTTGTTAAATAATTAAATGATAGTATCCCCGAGCCCTTGTGCTCCTTACAAATGGCTTTCTCTTCTGGGAAAGCATATTGTGCTGATGAGGATTTGATAAACTGATCTTTTTGGCCAGTGTGAAGTGTGTAAGCTTTAACGTGACTAAGGTATGGTACAGAATTTCTTAGCTCCTTTGCAGCCATCCAGATCTATAGTGGCAAGATTAAATGCTGCTTCTCTGTGGTAACTGCTCCCATGCATACATGCAAACCAAGAACAGGGTTTCAGCATGTAATTCTTAAACTGTGAAATACATGAGGCTTTGAGGAATTCCTCTGAACTGATGCTGTCAGTGCTAGGGTCCAAAATGAATTATTTGTAAGTTTGGGTGTTAATAAAAAGCGTTGCATCTTTTGTGCTATCCTCTTATAGAGAACCACCTTACAAGGCATGAAATACTGACTTGATTTAGAGAAGATTTTGTTGACAGCAAGACTGACTTTGGCATCTCATGCAGTAAGTGCGAGTGGAATGCCGTTACGCCGGTCAGCTCAGTACACTTCAGCTACCTAATAGGAGTTACGCAGAAGATGGCAAGACTGCTGAAATCCTTAACTTCAAGTACAGATGTGATATACTCAGACAGTGCTTTGAAATGCTTTTAAGCTGAATTCTTTGAATGACATGTCAGTATACTTCTGACAACTTTTTCATTTTAAACTGATGATCCTTAAAGCCTGAAGCAATCCTGTCCTCATAGCTAACAAAAATGATCCTCATCTCCTTTGTTGGCAGTAGTGCAACAAACTTACTGACACTCATGACTCAGGAGCAGCTTCTTTTTGCTTGGTCCTCTTTTCACTGCTATGCTAGCTGCAGCAGTACAGTATAAGCATAAACCAGTGCAACATCTTCTTTAAACAGAAATAACATAGTTGTGAATTTTTGTTGATTTTTTTCTCCTTTTTCTTTGTTCTGTTAGGTTCTCATATTCTACCACTACCCTCTGTATCAGGAATACCCCTTCCTGTGGCCAGGGAATAAAATGCCAGCACCATGGGCTAATACAACCAATGTGCACAAACTGTTACAGTTCCTAGAGACCACTCTTGAGGAACGAAGTCGTTATGGGACTTTCCATGTTTCTCAAGCAATTCTCACGCCTCGAGTGAAAACTATTGCACGGCATCTAATTCGTGGTCTGAAGAACACACTTGTTCATAGGTAAGGACTTGTCTTGATTTTTCAGTTCTTTACTTACCATGTTCCATGTTGAAAGAGGCACTGAGTAAGCAAGAAACTGAAATGTTTGCTTAGAAGTAAGACTTGATGAAAGCATGCAGTTTTGCTTCATTACTATTGTTCATGAGAGATACTTGCAGTCATTAAAAATAATGATTGAAAACAATGAAGTAACAGGGTATATATGCACCTCAAGTGTGTTTCCTGGTAATTGGAGCTCTTTCTGAATGATGTGATTTCATAAAGCATGGTCTGGACCTGTTGTTTCAAACCAATAATTCATTCCAAATTGGCTGAACTTGAATTTAGGGGGGAAAGAGCTTGTGCCACAGCGGAAAATTGCCTATTTGTGGGCTCAGTTTTGCATTTGTCTGTACAAATCTGCCTCAGTAATGGCCAAAGATGTATGACCTAGGGCAGTTTTTATTTTGTTTTTACCAAAAATTAGGTTAACAATTTGACTTTTTTTATACCACTGACTGTTGTACAATAATTTGCCTGTGAGTAAGATCATTAGAAGAGGGTTTTGCTTTGAGTAGCGCAGAGAGTGATTTTTAAGTGTTAACAGCATGACCAGGATAGGTTCCATGTGACTTTATTTTATGGCGTTATCATCTAGTAGCCTGTTCGCTAAAAATTGACAAAACTGTAACAGTCCTGGTGGGATCTGGTCTCCTGGCTCACTGTCTAATATTGCCTGTTTTGATGTCACTAACAGTTTATCTTGCCATAATGATATTAAGTTATAAATTACACTTGTAAAGGTGGTTGCAACCAGTCTAATTTGATCAGCAACTGAGCTTAATGTTAAGCAGTGAGGTAAACACACATCTTCAGTGGCTAGTTCATGTTCCCCTTGGGAGAATCATTGGTCACTTTAGAAGTAATTACAGTATTACTTGAAGCCAAAGTAAATATAACTTATTTTCTTAAAAATCATTTTTAAAAATAGCAAGTGTTGTGCTTTTGCAGTCACAAAAGTCGTTGATGGAAGTAAGGAAATTCCAGGTGAAGTACAAATCATGGAGTCTTCAGTCTCCTTCCTGTTTACAGCCATTAATCTAGCAAAAGATAATTAAATCCCAATGATGTTTGCTGCAATATATTCAGGTCTGCACTCTGGCTTGTGCTTTGCCCACATCTGTGCAGTGAGCATTAGACACTAGATGGTGCTCAGGTGCTTTAAGGCTGGTGTTTGCTGTCACAAGTTGCACAAATGTAAATATGTGTGCTTGGTGGGGATACTTCACAGAAAGCACAGCTGTAACTTATGCCTGCGTACTGTATATTAAATGTACTGTTGTCTCGTGATTAAAGGAAAGATCGTACTGAATTTCTGTTTTTAAACTAGTAAAGGATCACCTAATTTCATGGAAGGGGTGAGCAGTTTTGTTTCACGTGACTCCTGGCACAGATCTGGGCTGTAGGCCACTGGTAGGCTGGAAGCCTGCCTTCGCTCCATCTCTTTAGCTCAGCCCCGTCGTTACCACTTGCTTGAAAGTAAACTGAAAATTTAAAATAGATGCTGCTGTTTGCTAAAGCATGATTGCTTATATACATTTACACATGCTAGCTGATTTGCATGTGTAAATCTGCCTTTGCAGTTCTGTGTAGATGTCTGCTTTCTCATATGGAAATTTTGCCCTGAATATGAATATTTAAGTGTTCTTGAGCTCTTGCTAAAGGAGAAATGTGCAACATTCACAGTTAGCTGGCTGAAGTCTGGTGTGTCCCTTGCAGGGACAGTAATTATGCTTTCACTCAAGTTCTCTTGCCAAGAACCAAGAGAAGAGAGATTTTTTTCTGGAACAAGAGTTGTGGGGTGCTCTTAGGATTTTTTTTGTTTTTAATTCCCCATCCTGTTAGCCAATTTGCCTACCATCTTCTCGTATAATTTTGTATGCATGTTATAGCATACTATATTAAATATACTAATTTAAACAATTCTGATATATTTAGTCATTTGTCTCTAATTGTGCTGAAAACCTTGGTGTTTGTGTGTTAGAGTGCAAAAAAGCTTGTGCAGACTCCTGACTTGCACTCTGTCCAAGAAATGACTTGAAATTTCTCCCTGCGGTAGAATTTTTAACTCCATTCCTGACACACCTCACCTTTCCCTGGTTAGTGATGTATGGTGGGTTGTTCAACCCTTACAGAGCTGAGGGCTTGATTCTGGGTTTGGTTCCCCTGATCCCATTGCTCGGGGTGGCCCTGGAGGCTGGCAGGAGTTTGGTAGAAATGCAGTGTGCTGCCCCTACAACTTCTCTCCTGCCCAGCCGAAGGCAGAGGTGGGCAGGGGAACATCTTGGGCCAGATATAGCCTTGCTCTGTGCCCCACTGAAGTCTGCTGTGAAATTAAGCTTTCAGTTCAGTGCATGCTTTGGTGAAAACAAACCAGGATGGAGGAAATTGTAGTGCAGCATTTAAATCCTGAAGCGCAGTCTGCTCAGTGACTATGGAGTTCACGAATGTTATCTTGTATGCTTGGTAGTTTGAATTGATGACTGACCAATATTTCTGTTTGATAGCTAATAACCACATGCTATGTTAAGCACTCTTCTCATCAGCTGGTTGCATTTTGGGTGGCAGTCAGGACCTGATCACAAATGTGAGATGATGACATAATTTGTAAACAGCAAGTTGTATTTGAAATAAGAGAAGTATGCATAGAGAAGAATCTCTTTTAAAATGTTTAATTATCTTTATTTCAATTTCTCTAGGAACCTGCCCATGATTTTGAACTGGGTGAAAGCACAGAAGCCAGGTGTTATGGGTGTTAACATAATTACATCAGACTTTGTGGAGCTGGCTGATTTTGCTGCTACAGTCATTGCACTGAATGACCTCCTTTTGGAAGAGGATGAATCTGCAACTAAATCCTGATTGCTGTGTCCCACTTGTGCTCCTCAGTGGACATCTTCGAACTACGCTAAATGTTTTATTTATTAAGTGAAACCTTTTGTAATCTCTGTTTATTTAAAAAGAAATTCTAGAGGAAATGTGGCTAAACATCACGTAGAGGCGGGTCCCTTCTCCCAGTGGTGCGTGGATCTGAGTGGAACAGAAAGTGCTGTCTGGGTGCTGGTGTGTGGCTGTGGCTATGTGTTTGACTAAGTTATGCACACATCTGCTGCAGTCTGGTGTGGCGTTTGCCTGCCAACAAGAGGCTGGCCTCCGGAGCAGATGTACCCGATTATGGTGCGCGTCTCCCTGGTGACGGGACTCACCGTCCCCTTGCGTGCGCATCCCGCCTGTTTCTCAACACCTCGGCTCAAACCGAGGATCGCTGCTGATCCCTTCGCAGCAGTGTGACCAGGCTGGCCGAGGGGGCATTGTTCTTGGGCCACCTCAGGCGTAGCTGGGCTCAGCTGGAGGCTGCTGCTGTATTCATTACGCTGTTTTAGATGCTACCTCTGGCTGACTTGAAGAAACAATATTGCTGTTGTTCAGGGGGAAGCTGTTGTTACACTGTGGTGAATATCCAGACTGTCCTTTGGGCCTGAGAGGCAAAGGCTTGGGAAGCTCTGCCTCTTTGGACTCCAAACTCTTCTTCTGGACCTCTTTATTTTTACTTTAATACATTTACTGCGACCATGTTTAAGTGTGTTTCTTCTGGCATTAATTTGGAGTATGTTTCAGTCTTTAAATTATGAGGATTGTAACTCACAAGTCTGAATTCCTGTTGAAACACTTGAGAAACCACAGCACAACCTTTCTCTTTTGCTTGCTGGTCACTTGTTTTTTCCATCTATCGAGTTTTCTGTGGGGAAGGTCTCTCATCCAGACAGCCTTTCTCTGGAAGGAGGTGGGCTAAGGGGGAGCTTACTTGGTATTCAAAGAACTGGAGCTGACAGGGACTGCTCAAAACCCAAATATTGAATCTCTGATTTGCAATGTGACAGTGAATTCCGAAATCAGACCCAAAAGTTGTGCTTGTAGTCAGAGAGCCGCAGCTATGGGAGAGATTTTCCCGGCCTGTACCCACTTGTGACAAAGTAAGCAGCAGTCACACAAGCGCAGGCAGGGTTCAGTGCTGCTTCTTTCTGGAGTCATACTCATTTTTGTGTTGATTCCCAACAAAACGTGACCATGTCTGCTTGAGCCAATGCAGTCACGTGTTGGGACTTACCAGCACTTAATTGACTAGCTGATAGCAGTCCTACAGTCTGATCTATCTTTGGTTTAAAAAAACAAAAGTGACTGACTAGTGGATACTTCTCTGCTCCATCATCTTAAAGCAACTGTTGGTGCACTAATTATTCAGTGATTATGAATTTGTATTAATCTCTAAGCTATTATAGTAGAATGGATCGTCTTTATAGATATTTTATTCAAAAGAAAAGTGAATCTCTAGATTTCTTATTTATTTTGTTATCGTATCCTGTGTCTGTCATGGTCTGACAGCCCAGAAAAATGTAAAACCTCTTTGCTTGCTTGTCACAAACTCTGAACTCAGGACAAGCTTATTTAAAGGTTTGCAAACCTTCCATGTGAACCTTGGCCGAGTTCCGAGCAGACTGTAATCTGATTTATCTGTTTGTTGGATGGTTTTCATTAGAGTTCCTTGAATTTTTTTAACAATCCTTTTTCTATGGGAGTTGGGGGTGGGGGGTATCTCTCAAGCTGTCTGTCTTCTTTCCTCTTCTGTTTCAGTGATGGGGGGCAAGTCATGAAAAGCAGTTTTTAAGAACTAAAGCTTAAATTTCTAGTTTAAAATCTCCTTTGAAAACCTCAGCAGAAGGTTTTTTATTTTTGGTATTTTGTTCTTGTTGATGAAACTGTTAGAACCTGTTTTGAACAGCACTGTTTTATTTGCAAAGTTATTTAAAATACTTGAATTTTCCTTAGCTGAATTTTGTGTTAACCTACTTTTCTTACGGCCCCAACTGGAACTCCATGATAGAGTTAAATGTATGGGTTTGGTTTCAGTGGTCTTTTAGCTGCAAATTGTCTTAGAGCTCAGAACTCGGAAAAACTTGGTTTGAATGCTGATGAGGCAGAAATAATACACTTGCAAGGTTTCCTGCAGAACTTGAGGACAAGGCGAGAAGGTGAAGTGAGTACGATGTTTGCATTTGACTCTTAATATTTTGTACTGTATATATCTACCTCAAAAGAGATTTATCAGGCTTAACCAATATTTATATTGTGTGTGCACAGTAATGACTGTGGTGTTAGTCCTGTTGTATTTATTTGAATAGAGATGTGATGATTGCAACTCAGGGCTTTGGTTAGATATTTTTAAGTATAAACTCAGAAGTTTTTCAAACATATTTGCTGTTAGCTCTTGCCTCTTGAAATAGAGCAAAGGCACGCTAGGTGTTAAGAATGTTAGCAGAGGGAGAAGAAATGGAAAATTAGCTTTAGCGTTAATGATGAAGTGGGGGGGAGGGAACAATTCTGTAAGTTTGGCCTGTCTGAAGAGACATGTCACTTCAGAACAGTGCTTGGGTGTTACGCTTCAATGTGAGGAACCTGACAGTCTCACTAGTGAGTTGGGCAATTGACAGATACAATTGCCTGCAACAGGATATCTCCTGTGGGTACTCCAGGCAACGTTAATGCTGATGTTTAGAATTGGTTTTAGGGTAGTCCTAAACCATCCTAAGCAATATGAACTACTTTTCTTCTGTTACACACTATAGCCCATAACAAAGCTGCCTGCATAATAGGCTTATCTCTCTGACACAGCACCACAGCATATCCAGATTCCCTTACACCTTGCAAAACAGAGCTCATCTAGACTTGGACTTTGGGCTGCAGACTCTATTTTCCGGGGTTACAAAAGCAGAAAGGTGAGCTGGGCAGGAAGGGAGGATCAAGGAAGTAGGCAGCGGTTTGCAGCCCGTGCCCACAGTGAAGGTGTGGCAGCCTTTAGCCAGGTTTGGGGCTGCGGAGTGGAGCAGGTCTGGCCGGTGAGTGACAGTGGCCGCAGCTCAGAGCGGGCTGCAGCTGGGTGCAAGTGACAGCCTGCAAGGTCATGTATGTATGAGCTTGAGAAAAATAACGATTGGCATGAATGCAGGCAGCTGGGGCTTCCTGGCTGTTGATGCAGACCTGCATCTGTTGAATACAGTGATTGTCTTGCTTCTAGCTTCCCCAAGCAGTAGGGTTCACTTTTAAACAGTTTAGTTGGAAAACTCCCCCAAAAGAATTGTTCTGAGGACTTGACTGTTCTGGAGGTGCTGGGAAAGGAAAAGCCAGGGAACTAGTAGCTGCTTGAGGCAAAATACTTACTTTAATTGCATATTCTTGAATAATTACTTGTATGTTTTGTTCTTACAGATTCAGGTTACTTATATGTTGTGTTATGACTGTCATTTCTTGTCCTAATGTGCAATCACTGAATGCTGAGCATGCTGGTGGTATGCCCGTTCTCCTGGCACTGGATCACTGCCACATGCAATTCAAGGGCATACCTGAGGCACAGGAGACCTCTGTATGTATCCCTGATGGGGAGCAGCAGGGAAAAAAGAATATATGAGTTTTTAGCATCTTAGTGTGTGCTTGTAGGTGAAATCATAGAGGAGTTATTACTAAATCTTGCAGACTATCAATTGCTCAGCTCCTTATTTGGGAACTACTGTCCTAAATATATTTAACAATTGTGGAGCTGGGAGTCATAATGTTGATTTTTTTTTTTTTTGAGAAGAAAAGACAGATTCCTCCTGTCCAATTTTATCTCAAGAACTGAAGGGATACCAACTTGCATGTGCTTTGCTGTGATGGAGAGGATCCCACTGGAGACACTGCTGGCAAGGCAAGTTTCAGGGGTGCTGTGAGAGGGTGAGAGATGTCAGACTGGGAGTCTTCAGAGCACAAATGCTGACTGCAAAAAGGCCCCTGTCGGAAAAGAAAGGAATAAAGGGAAAATGGTATCTTTGCTCCTGACACACACTGTTTCCTGCTGTGTTGGTGGTGAGTTTATATGTTGGAGTTTAGAAAGTACCTGTGCTGTAAAGCTGAAGAAGCACTTTTGAGCAGGGATTGTGGCTCAAACAGAAGTAAGCATCTGCCAAGATGGTTACCTATTGTTCTCATCTGGCTCAGCCTTTGGAAATCATTTCTTTGCATACCTGTCTCAGGTGGAGTTCATTGTATCATCTGGCAGACCAGGGTTTAAGACTTCTATAATAAGTAGAGGACATGGCTGTTTTCATTCAAAATTAGGTTACCTGTGGATGTCTGACAGAGCATGTATGACTTGAGGTTTACTTGACTATACAATATTAAACACAGAGTCCATATGTAGTTTTAGTAAAACTTTCATCTAGACTTGAGCGTATTGTTACCCATCCCTACTAAGCAAATTCTTCGGTCAGATGACCACTGTTTGGGACAAAATTTTGGGCAAATTTTCAGTGGTTGTTTAAGCACAGAGAAATTGTCTAATGTGAAGAACAGAACTGACATGAAACTTAATTCAAAATTCAAATCAGATCAAGATGTAGTCCTTTCAGCAGTCAAAAATTTTTTTTGTTTTTCTGTCTGACAAATTCTTATTCCACCTTTGGTTTTTGACTCAACAGACGGGTAGAAGAGCCTGAGCATATGCTGAAGAACAAATAAATGTTATGCTAAGGACATGTATGTTGGGCTAACTGTGGTAAGAGTATAGCGATTTCCTTAGTCACACCTTCCGCTGATAATCCTACTAGCTGTTTAGCTTAGGTTGTTAAATCAGTCTGTATTCTGTATTAAAAAAAATCAGTCCCTGATTCAATATGTCTATCTTGTTGAAGAAATCTGTGTTCTTCTGTATTTATTTCTGAGTCTTATCAAGTAAACAAGCTTTAACTTTTAATTGTAGGGACTGGAATAGGAATGTCAACTGTAGAACTGTGTGCTGAATCTAATTTTATTTTATATTGCTGAGTATTTAT